AGAAAGTAGCGGCGGGGAAGCCAAATACTTTCGTAGCTGTTCGAAGGCTTCTTGGCATTCGTCCGTCCATTGAAAACCAGAGTTGCGGGCACCTCTGAGTATTTTGAAGAAAGGCATATATTTGTCTCCTGAACACGCCAGGAAACGTGACAATGCTGCAATTCTCCCGTTCAGCCTTTGGACTTCCTTGATGTTCTTAGGGGGCACCATATCTCTTAACGCCTTGATCTTTTCGGGATTGGCTTCAATTCCTCTGTGGGTTACCATAAAACCCAGAATTTTCTAGAAGCAACTCCGAAGGCGCATTTGGCAGGGTTGAGTCGCATATTGTAACGCCTCAGCAGCAGAAGCACTGCTCCAAGTCGGAGATATATTGAGACTTTTCGCGACTCTTTACCAACATGTCGTCGGGGTATACCTCCATGTTACGCCCAATAAGGGTTTTGAAAACCTTATTCATGAGGCGTTGGTAAGTTTCTCCAGCATTCTTGAGCCCGAAGGGCATTACCCGATAACAGTACAGTACTCTGTCTGTTTGAAATGCTGTTGCTTCTTAATCAGTCGGATTCATCTTGATTTGATTGTAACCGGAGTATGCGTCCATGAAACTCAACATATGATGCCCAGAAGTGGTATCGACTAACTGGTCGATGCGCGGAAGGGGAAAGCTATCTTTTGGGCAGGCCTTGTTGAGATCAGTATAATCTATGCACATTCTCCATGCATCGTTCCCCTTTCAAACCAAGACGACATTTTCCGGCCAATTAGGATGATGCACTTATCGTATGAATCCGACTTTCAAAAGTTTGTCTACCTCTTGTTCGATCGCCTGCTGACGATCTGGTGCAAAATTCCGTTTCTTCTGGATGATTGGTTTGTTTATCGAATTAACCTTAAGGGAATGTACAATTACTTCAGGGTCAATCCCGGGCATATCCGCCGGACTCCATGCAAAGATATCCTGATTTTCCTGTAGAAAATCTGTGAATATTTTCTTCTCGTCTTCTCAGAGAAGTGACCCAATTTACACCGTTTTTAGAGGATGTTCTTCAGAGATAGATACAGTGGTGATTTATTCTACTAGAGAGGCTCTCTGAGGTATGTCCTCGCTCCGGAGATCAAAATCCTCAATGTTTAGAGTATCGGTCGGTTGTGTTTTGACCTGCCTGAGATAGCAAGTTTGTGCTTCTTGTTGATCTCTGCATGCCACACTAACTCCCGTTGGAGTGTGGAACTTCAGCTTGAGGTGAGGGATAGAGGTGACAATCCCAAAAATTGATTGGAGTGGCCTTCCAAAGATAGCGTTGTAAGCCGATTCAGACTTTACAACAATGAACTGAACAGAGTGTGCGGATTGCCTGGGGAATTCTCCAAGTACAACTGGAAGACTAATTATACCTTATACTCGTACAGGTCGATTATCAAACCCGTACAGAGGGCCTGCAGCGGGCTGAAGTTTTTCTCTTGTGAGACCAATATTGAGGAAGGTAGAGTAGAACAGGACGTCCACAGAGCTGCCGTTGTCTACAATGATTCTCTTAACGTTGTAGCACGGGTCGCCTATGCCTGCATTAATAACAATAGGATCTTGGTGAGGGGTTTTTACTCCCTCCAAGTCGGAATCATCAAAGGTGATGGAGTGATCTACACGAGCTTTCTTAGGAGTTGAGTTTTGTCCACAGCCAAAAAGACTTTATCGGATAGCAGAGGGCCTCCAGCTATTGTCTTAATTTCTCCAACTGCGATTCGATTGTTTACCGGTGGCCTCTGGTGTCGTTCTTGCCCCCCAGCGGGACGAATTTCCTCTCGGGGAGGAGGATTCTGAATAAACTATCAGAGATAACCTTGGCGGATAAGCCTTTCAATCTCCTCCTTCAGTTGTCTGCAAGCTTCGGTAGTGTGACCATGACTACGATGGAAATGATAGTATTGGTCCTGATTTACTGTGTTCGGCTTCAAGGGATGTAGCCACTTTACCATATCCTGATCTCGTACAGCCATTAGCACATTTGCTCGAGATGTATTGAGATGAGTGTATTCTTTCTCTTGTCGAGGTTCTCGCCGTGGTAATGGAGGCCTCGGGGGTAGATTGTTCTTCCCTTGCTTCTTTCGTTGCGAGGAAGAATTATCCGTTCCTGGCGCTCCCTTGCGCTTTCCAATAGATTTTTCGAATTGTTTCCTATGGGCGTTTATAGCCTCATTCGCCGAGATTTGAGCTTCTACCCGGTGAATTAAATCGGCATATGATGGAACGGTGTCGTGCATAAGTGCTGAATAGAAGGGGCCAGGGCGAAGGCCTCCAAGGAAGACTCCCCTCAACAATTCAGGATCTACTCCTGGGATTTGTCGAGCTTCAGTGGATAATCGCTAAAAATACTCCTTTAAAGATTCTCCTTCGTTTTGGCGGATTCCAGCGAGGTAGGAGGAATCCTTAGCAATCTTTCGGTTGGCTACGAATTGCTCGACAAAAGCTTTTGCTAATTTCACAAATGAAGGGATCGTCCCTGATGGAAGCGAGTAGAACCATGTGCGAGCCTGTTCTTTGACAGTGACAGGAAAGACTTGGCAAAGGAGAGCGTCCGAAACTCGCTGAATGTGCATAATGGTTCTGTAGTGGTTGATATGCTCGTACGGGTCGGACGTCCCGTCGTAAGACTCGATGCTGGGTAACTTAAATCTAGCCATAATGGGATGTTGTAGTATGGCCTCAATTAGAGGTGATGATTCCTGAAAGTCTCTCTACCGGAGAGTTTGTCTCGCATCCCCTTGGGGGAATTCTTCCCTTACTAATTTTTGCAGTTCGTGACGCAGGGCGTCGTGAGGGAGCTCCGCTCCACGTGGTTGAGCAGAGTCTTCGGGGAGATCTGGGAGGATGCGAGGCTGTCGAAATTAAGGTGGAGGATGTGTAGAACTTGCCGTATCGGCAAGTTCATTATCCTGTCGAGACTGAGGAAATCTTCTAGGTGGGGGGAGATGAACTTCTGCTTGAAGATGCCCAAATTGGACATCCTCAACCCGTGGTGGATTCTGGGGGAGGAAAACTTCCTCCTGTTGTGCTAATGCCGGCTGTCGATTCTCCCGTAGGAGTTGAAGAATCTCATTCTGAGATTCCTCCATTTTTCGGATTCTTTCTTCCAAAGAAGGTCCTGAGGTCCTTTCGCCGGCAGCATTTTGCCCACTAGGATGCAAAGATGATGACATTGGTCGTCTGTGGTTAATAGACGAATTTCTGGACTGACGAGAGTTGGAGCGAGAAGCTCCAACCAAACGACTACTGCGCCTATTCACCATCGTAGCAGTACTCGAAATAGTGGGATAGTGTTCCCCACAGACGGCGCCAAACTGTTGCGTGCTAGGAAATACGCGGCGGTAGAGTTTGTAAATTCGCGTCCGAGCGTTGCACATAAATATAACACACAAACAGGAAGATAAAAGAACACCGGGATTTGTACGTGGAAAACCCAAAAAGGGAAAAACCACGGGGCCTTGCCCAGTTGTAAAATTCCACTAGCGCTTTTGTAAATTACAAGAAACAGATTCGTCCCGCAAATTGGGACGATCAGATTACAACTTGAAGTAAATTTACAAAGTTTGCAGAATCCCGTCGTTTCCTGAAAATTCAGCAAAATTCCGGCGTATTCAGGAGGCGGGAAGATCTCCGGCGGTGGTCGACGAGGAAAGATTACAACTTGAAGTAAATTTACTAAGTTGCAGAATCCCGTTGTTTCCTGAAAATCCGGCAGAGTTCCGAAGTATTCAGGCGGCGGGAAGATCTACGGCGGTGGTCGAGGAGGAGAGGAATCACCTTTTCCCCTTTTCCTTCTTCTTCTTCTCTCTCTTCACTTGAGTCCCCTTGGTGTAGAATGAGGTATCTATTTATAGTTTTTTCTGGACTGACATAGCCCGTAAATAGGCGTGAGATCAGGGGCGAATTGGGAGTGTTTTGAATGGACGGCCGATATCGAATCCTTTGATCATGCACCGTTCGTTGGGCATTTGAAGACCTTAATGATGTCGGAATTCGGCCATCTTGGGCTCGTTGGATTCGTCTCGTCAAGCCGTTCGATTCGAGTATAAGCTCGTCAAAATCGGAGACCGTTTGGTAACTCAAATTGCGGTTTGAACCTTCCAATAGTGCTTCAGGTCCTTGATTCGAACCCATTTGGACTCGGATTGGGTCGAATTTGGTGTCATTGGATTCGTATTTCCGAGACGCTCAATTTGACTGTAAGCTCGCTGAAATCGGAGTTAGGGAGCTCCCAAAAATAATTTTTGAAATTTCCAACTAGCTTTTGCCTCGAGATTCGTGCCTAATCAAGATAATTTTGTGATGCCATATCAATTATATTAAAATAAATTTTGATGGATTAGGGGGTTTGGGGTTTAGGAACACAATTGAAAGTCTAAGGCCCCCCATTTGATTGCATTGAGTTGCAAATCTATGTTCTAAAACTAATAAAATTTGTTAGCTCCACTATTTAGTTTAGTTGGATATAGGTAGAAAATATTATCTTTAAAGTAAATAAATTCTATAGAGTTTTGCATTTTATTTGAGACGACTTTATTACTGCTTTGTAAAACAAGTTTTTGGTACAAAATTTATTTAAGTGGCCTTAGGCTTCATTTGGGACGAATATCTTACTGCTTCTTAAAGCAGATTTCTAATACAAAAATTTTAATTGTTGTATCAAAAAGCTATTTTATGAAGCAGTAAAAAAACCGTCCCAAACAAAATCTTAATTTCACACAAGAAATACAAATTGAGACAAAAATGATATATCATATCATCATTATTCAAAATATGTTCAATCTACAAGTAACAAAATGATACCTTAGCTATAGCTCATACCAATTTTATTTAACCAAAAAAAAAAAACTCACAATGGAAGATGCTATAACTACCATGTAGAAATAAAACATCCAGAGCAAGTTTTATTTAACCCAAAAAAAAAAAACTCACAATTTTCTTTAACCAAAAAAAAAAAACTCACAATGCTTCCTGAATGAAAAGATCTGCAAATTATGCATGCAGCAAAATTCGTGTAAAGAATTACAATCAATATAAACATATTTCTTTATAAAAACTATAACACCTAAGTATATGGATTGATAAGAAAAGAAAAACTAGTTCTAAACTATATGGCTTCATCGCATATTCTCATGACATTTCCCTTGAACATCTTAAAGATATTCAGGAGAAAAAATTGTTTGGAAAATTTTGTAAACAAAATATGGTAAAAGGGCAATGATCACAGCAGCTGAAGTGACAATCCAGTAAATTGGACTAGGAGCTGCAGCTTCCAGGAACACCCAGTACGCTGATGTAGAAATAAAAGGAGGAAAGAGTCCATAGATGACCAAAAAGACATACCAGAAAGAGATACTGCCCCAAATAAAAAGGTGCTGGATCCAGGTGAAGTAGTTCAGGTAGAGAGCTAACTGGCAGTTCACAGTCCAGATCACACAGGTGTACATGGTGAGACCAAGCATATCAAGTCCTCCGACCCGCCCATCCACCCGGAAGGCCTGGTCAAGGATGGCGCTTGAAGTGAAATAGTATATTATGATGGAGCTGAAGACTCCATTAATCATCCAGCCGAGAATGCGAGGCCAGCTGAATAGAATGTTCTGCACTCCATCCTGGTGCATCAGCGGGTACTGCATGGTAATAGAACAAGGCAAGAAAATTTTACACAAGTTTGGTTTAAAATTTGTGTTGGTTGGATTCATTAAACATTTATAATTGATCAAAATTGGATAACATGACTCTATCTACTCATATAAGAGAGACTTATGCTTCATTTGAAATGACTTTCTTATTGCTTCTTAAAGTAACTTTTTAGTATAAAGATTAAAATTTTTGTACTAGAAAGCTGTTTTAAGAAGCACTAAGAAAGCCGTCCCAAACGAAACCTTAGGCTTTGTTTGGGATGGCTTTCTTACTACTTCTTAAAGTAACTTTCTAGTAAAAAAAAATAATAATAATTTTTATACTTAAAAGCTGCTTTAAGAAACAATACGAAAGCCGTCCCAAACGCAGCCTTAAATTATAATGGAAATAGAATAGCCAGTTGCAAGTTATAAATTATCAAAATTTGATAACATGTATTGATTCTCCCTACACTGCAGATGAATATAACTATGAAAGAATAACCAGTGCAATGATTAAGTGCATACCTTCAGGCAGAGCCGTGAGGAGACATCCTTATCAAATACGCCAAGAGCAATCACTGGAAGTGAGGTGAAGACAACATTGTAGAAGGCAATGTACCAGTCATTGTATGCAGGTTGTGCAGTGAAAGAAGTATGAACCTCAAAGCAGAACAGGGTAAAGCCAAACGTAATGTTCTTGTAGAAAAAATAGCAAATCTGTTCAAGTAATGCCACAAGTAAACTTAAGTCGATTGCAGTACGAAATTCCAACAGTTTCAATGGTCAGTGGACTGCTGTTTCTACTAGTTTCCTTGATTGAAGCTATATAAGGTATACAATTTACACTAAAAATATAAATTAACGGACAGAAAAAGCTATCATTCCAGCGAAAAGATTTAGTAACTAAAGACTAAAAAATCATCATAACTCTCCAAATCATAATTTTAAATCTATTTAAATCTAAAGCTACATATCTATGCATCTTCTTAGAGGTAGCTATAATTAACTTTTTTTTTTCTTCGATTTCGATCAATTTAGAACATATCCTTATTTTGTGTATTATACGCTTCTAAAGGAAGTTCTTCTCTAACACTCCCAATTATTAATTTCTCAAAATATCATTTTAACATTTTATTGATGCCTTCATCTTCAACTCAAATCATATTATATTTTATTACTAACCCATATAATTAGATCAAAATCCCTAGATCAATTATCTCGTCTTAATTATTTTATATATCTCTTTTTGTTCATCCGTAATAACTAGTTTATTATAAAAAAGACCATAATTAGTAGCTTTTTGACACTCTTAGAAATAGCACGATCGAACAAGGAGATATCCATCTTTCCCCAGAAATACACCATATAGACCCGCCAAAAGAAATTGGTATACCAGAGTGTAAGCTTGAAAACACAATGCTTCAAACAAAATCAAAATTAGGAAGGATTCATTTCTTGTTGACTGAGGCACCAACTAATAGGAAAACATATGTCTCCTATACTAGATCTAATATTTGCTTCCTTATTAGTGTTAGACAGATTAAGAACAACTCTACAAAGAAGCATCTTAATGTTAGACACAAAATACAAAGGAATATTAAAAAGGCACCTGAAAAAGGGTTATTTTTCATAAGAATTACAAACACAAGCACAAAAATCTTCAGCGGTGTTGAATGAGACTAGCCTAAATCCACATCTGATTATTGCTTAGCGAAAATATAATCATACGTAGAAGTAAAAGAAAAAGTTTGTTGTCGCTCAAAATAGTGTTGGAAGTTGAATTCAAGGCGACGGCCAGCAAACCCCATACGTTCAACCTGCCAGCAGGCCCCATACATTCAGCCCGCCAGCTTGCAACATTCATTTTGTTGTCAACTATCTATTGCCTTGGCTATCAAGCCATAGCTGATATGCCTTGATGTTGCCAGCCAGGAACTTATTTGTTAATGAGAAATTAATTGAAAATTATTGCATTCAATACATACTCTAATGTAATTGATTAGTTTAATTCATCCCTATTTTTCTCTCCTTCCTAGTGCCAGTTATGGCCTATTTTTATCTCTTAGTTTTCTTTCTATTCTAAGCCGAAGATACTGTATCTCCTCTAAATCATGTATCCCTTCTACTTATTCGAATATGAAAAAAATGTAATATCTTTAGCACATTTTTCAACAGAAATATAATGATATTAATAAAAAAATGGCATTTGCCAATCTCATGATGAAAAGGAAAAGGGAGATGCAATACCATGGCAGCAATCCGCCTGTAACACCAATGCCCATGAACAAGTAGTAAACGCTCCAAATAACGAAATTGAGCAATTGCAAAATCACTAGACATTACAGCCTGAAATTTTAAAAGCACGTTGTGAATAATAATGGGGCAGGTGATAAAAAATCAAGTATGATACTCATCAAGAACTTGCAATCAGGCCAGGTAGAATCTTGTAATTAGTTCAGATGTTGAATGCATTTAGTATACCAAGGTCAGCCAAAATATTGACATTAAAAAACTTCTAGACAGTGTAATAGCTTGTTTTTCATGATGGCGTTCAATTTGACTTTTTTATGGTACTATATTGGTAAGCAGAATATGATAACAGTTTCTAAAGCTTGATTTAAAAAAGAACAAAATAGTATTAGCAAGGCCATATATGAAGATATGAAATACTTAATGAAGCATAATTATCGTCTTAATTGATGTATCAATAAATGGAAGGAATAAGAAGAAAACATCTATTCCTAGAAATAGAAACTAAATAAGAAATGCAAATGACTTCTCATAAAGCATAAGATTCAGGCCTTGTTTGGTTCCCCCCGACATTTTTTTGTTCTTAAATGGAGGTATTACAACGGAGAAGTAGATTTTTTTTTTTTCAAATCGGCAAAAATACGGAGGTGTAGCAAAAGGTATTTTGGAAAAAAAGCATAAACAAACAGTAAAATAATAATTTTTTCACCGTTTGAAATCAAAAACGGAGAAATTCTGGCCAACCAAATGAGGCCTCAGTCAGCGCAAGGACCCAAATGAATTCGCTAATTAGCATAGGAAGAAATGAAAGCTTGAATCTGCCCGTAGGTTAGAAGGTTGATTCCAGTATAAATGAGTATGTAGAGCTTTTGAGGTAAAAGGGCTTATGGTGTAGGCCACATGTTGTGTACATCCATAATCTACACTTACTATTCAAACTTCAAAAAAATTGGTTAACAAACTATCAAGTAAGAAAAGCTTAACTTACCTGAGGCAACAGCTTATGACTTTCCCATGATAATGAATAGGCCAGATAATACCCAAAAAAAATAAAGAAAAATGAATATCATTTGTTGAAGGGTAAAAAACCTGCATCCCCTCAACTCCACTAATGCCCACACCAACATCAGCCTCCTGAAGCATTCCAACATCATTTGCACCGTCACCAATTGCAAGTGTTGTTTTCTTTGTAGTTCTTTTAACTAATCTGGCAACCTGAAAGATTTCAATTTTCATTTAGATATGCTGAACGTCTCAAAGAATGAGAACGTAAAGGAAGAAAAATAAAATTAAGAAGAAACCTTATGGCTAGAAGGATGAATCAAGCACCCCAGTGGATGGCAAAAAAAACAAACCATAATTTATATTCAATCATCAGCCATCTGAATTATTTCCTAAGACGTACTATTTAAGTAGTGTCAAATCCAAGGACTTTCAAACGCTGCTAAATTTAAATAATGACAAGCATAGTTAAAATAATAAATGACCAATTTACTCCTCATAATTGATGAAATAACAACTAAGAACAAATGACTTGAAACAGTTGACAAAATATGATAATAGCAACATAAATAAGACTCAATACTAATAATAGATATTCAATATCTTGCAAAACAAAAATTCCCTTTAGTTTGCAAAGGACTCTGTGGGCTAAAAAAATTCACGTTTGGCTCTGCTAAGAATTTTGTTCCAGGTCAAATTTTTAGAAGGTATATTAGAATACATATAAAACACTATTGAGAGATTTTATCCTTATTTCACAAAAACTTTATGACTTGATTATGAGTTTCCCATGAGCGCAAGTCCTTATAATAAATTATCCCTTCCATTGATGAGAAATTTTTTTTGATTGAGGCTAGTTGTTAGATAGATGTTAGACTCTTAATGTATAGTAGCAACAATTTTGATTTCAAAATTGAGAAAAAAATCTAGTTGTTCTTAAGGCATATGGTAGGAGAATAATGATGACTCAATCAACATCTCATAATTTGTCTACTTAATTTGCAGAGGTAATTAATCAAACTAACCGAAGGGTCCTTGCCGGCAGGCATAAGGTTTGTGATCTTTTAGACATAAGATAGATGTTTGTCTTAAGGAAAAATTTTAATTCGATCTTCACTACAATAAAGCTTTGTGGGATTAAGTGCACCATATGGTTCACAACTCAAAACATTAAGTCATTGGAGAACATTTGGACTACAGTCATAACCGTAATATAGTTGTTGTTTTGCGAGAAAACTACTCAGTTAGAAGGCCCTAATCAAAACCTTTATTTATGATCATAACTATTACTTAGTAGTGTCATTTGGTGGAAAAACTATCCATTTAAATGAGATGAGCAACATCCTTCCTGACATAAGATCGATCCTCTAGGAGTGATCATAGACATACTCTCGATATGACATTTGCTTTTCGTGAGCTGAGGTTACCTTAAATTTGTCACCCCTACCAAAATATTGCAGAGGGTAGAATAATTATTATTTTAAGCTTCGGGATGATAGATTTTGCATGAATATTTTCAAAATTTTATTTTTTGATTGGATTTTTTAATTTTATCAAGGGTCAACATGCTTTGATTTAAGATTTGGAAGCATTTTAGTGATAAGATTCTTCTCGAGTTGAGATTGTCTATCAACATGACAATCATTAGAATTAAGGTTTAAATCTTGTCAACTATAATTTTTAAGATGTGAAAGATCACAATTGCAACATGGGAGTTACGATGTTATCCTATAGGTAGGGTAGCCCACTCAAAGAGTGTGGGCTAATTCTTTTGAATTTTAAATTGTTAAAAGATAAAAAGGGTTTGAATTTCTTTAAGATGGTTGCAATGTTCTCAAGACATTTGCATGCTCTTTACAGCTATTGCACACTTCTCAAGGTATGTTGAATTTAAGTTCACTTTATTTTTAGTCCATGCAACATGCTCAAATTATCAAATTTACACATTTCAAACTTTTAAGTTCAACACATTTGCCAAAGCACATATGGACAAAATTATTTTCGGTGATTTTATATGTCATGCACACCTTTCAATGTATCCACATAATGCGCTTACATATTTCATGATGCAATTACACATTTTTTAATACAATTGTATGGTGCACTTACATATTTTTAATGCATTTATACAATGTAATTGCACACTTTTTCAATACATTTGAACGAAGTACCTACAAACTTGGCAATGCACTAGCACGCTTGTCAATAAACGTGCATGAAACACTTGTAGTCTTGCATGCTTGTCAATATATTTGATAAAGCACTTGCACATTTTTAATAGGCATGCATGATTTCCATTACACACTTTTCAAGGCATTTGCATGATTGAGGTGTTTGCATGACTTTTGAGGTCTTACGTTTGAGCTGAATATTGCCTTACAAAGCACGTGCAAAACAAAAAATTATCTAGATAAAATTATTTACACGAGTGTTTGCAATGGGACTTAAATTATCAAGATTTGAAATGTTTGCATGAATATCACATCATTAATATGCGTGCAGAGTTCCATTTTGAGTTCAAAAAATCATCTTCTATCAACTTACGTGTATGAATTGCAAACCCATTGGTGAATGTTATAAATCAAAACTTTCATTCTTCCAAAAAATGACATAATTTTCATCTTTATATGAATGTAATTTTGTTGTGGTGAGCTTTGCATACGAATCAAATTTCTTTCTATAAATAGGGATCATTGTAGTTCATTTTCATTGCTTGATTCCTTTTATTGAGTGTTTAAGGTCCTGAGGGCTTTAGGTGTTTGATTAAAGTAAAAGACTTTTTTGTTCTTGGCCATAGGTCCCGTAAATCCTTTATTCATTTAAATGTTCATTTTTTTCCACTTTTTTTTTTCAATGTCATAATTGTTCAACAAGTTTTATGCTGACTGTTAACTACCTAATGTAATACTCAACTTTTCTCAGTCAAGGCTGGGGACAGGCAATTACTGTTAAAATTTTAAGAGAATAAGGAGAATTTTCATATGATATTGTTGATTTAGAGAAAGCATATAATAAAGTTCCAAAAGAAGGGCTCTAGAGAGTTTTAAAAATGAAAGGAGTTAATAATGCTTATATTCAAGTCATTAAGGATATGCACGAAGGACTTGTTACTTGTGTTCAAACACAAGATGATTTGACCAAGTGTTTTCCTATTTCAGTTGGATTACATCAAAGATCTAGTTTAACCCCATATCATTTTGCATTAGTCATGGATGTTCTTACTAGACAATTGTTGTACCCTGGTGTATGCTATTTTATGATGATATTCTTCTTCTTGATAACACTACAAAAAGAGTTGAAGGAGAACTTCAATTATAGAGGTCAACCTTAGAGTCTAAAAGTTTTCATGAGTAAATCTAAAACCGAATACATGAAGTGCAATTTTAGTAGTAATAGATCAAGTGGGTGAATTGTGACTTTGGGTGATCAAGTCATTTAAAAGAGTACACATTTTAGATTTATCGGGTCTAATGTTCAAAATGATAGTGAAATAGATGGGTAGCATAATTCAAGTTGGATGGTTGAAGTGCAAGTTGGATGGTTGAAGTGGAGGAATGCATCATGTTTGTTGTGTGATGGAAAGGTATCTGTCAAACTTAAGGAAAAATTCTATAAGATAATGGTGAGACCTGCAATGCTTTATGGCGCAAAATGTTGGCCATTAAAAGAGAAGCATAAAATTAAGTGTTGAGGAGATGAGGATGCTTAGGTGGATGAGTGGCTTTACTCTTAGAGACAAAATGTGAAATGAATATATACGTGAAAAAGTTGGAGTAACTCCAGTATTAGATAATATTAGAGATAGTCGTCTTAGATGATTTGTTCACATAAAATGTTGGTCTTTCGATAACTAAATTAGGAGTAGATGAATTAGATTTGGTCATGTTAAGAAAGATAGAGGTAGATCTAAAAGGACTTGATTAGAAAGTATTTAAAATGATATTTTTTTATTGGATTTAAATGAGATTTTTTTTTTCATATTGTAGTATTTTACTGTAGATTTTAATGAGAATTTGACACTTAGAGGACAATAAGATTCATGTAGCCGAACCCACATAGTGGGATAAAGGCTTGATGTTGTTTTTTCCCCACAATTTGGTTTATGACTTTTTAGGATGTTTGGACATGTTCATTTCTTTTATTTTATTAGTTCATTTAGTTGTGTTCATATTCAAGTTGGTTCTATTGTTTGTCTCATGTAGGTTCATTCATTGGTCATTTTAGCAACCTTTGGACATTTCTCCTGCATATGGGGCATTTACTGAACCTTCCCACTATACCTGTTAACGGCGAATGGCGCACCATGGCGCAAAGGTTCATTTGGAGCCATGGCGCATAGCGCACAGCGCGGCGCGCGCTACTTTGAACATGGCGCAAGCTATATAAAAATTATAAAATAATAAGCATGAATATGAAATATTATTAAAAATGAAAGACAAACTATCATAATAATAAAAGACAACCATAACATATATAAGTTCGACTAAGTAACATTCGAATATCTCATAATTCAAATACTACAATCTTTTTTTTAAAAGATCAAATAAGAATTTAATCTACTCTT